CGTCCGTTTGCACACAGTGTGTTTCGCGTTAATTAGCTCTCCAGCCGAGTCGGTAATATACGTACTAATTAATGTAGGATATATTTAATGTTTTTGCTTTTAACGAGAAGGAAATAGAGGAAGGGTGGGAGAAAGAGAGATAGGGGTAATAAAATAGGAAAGAAAAAAAGCTCTCTCGAGCACGAGCACGAGCATTCGCGCACTGGTCTCTTATTCTTTTGCCTCTGCTTCGTTATCTGCTTCTATTTTTTTTTTTTACTGTATAAAAAAATTCAAGAGAGAGAGAGAGAGAGAGTATCTAATTCATTCGATTTACGTCTAAAATCGGATTTATTCTTCAAACCATTTGCAACAGTTTTAAATATGTAATCCTTGATAATATTTACAAACTCTGTCTTCTTCTTATTTTTTTTTTCATTAATTATTTTTTATATCTTTTGCAGTAGTTTTTGTTGTTGTTTTTTTGCTTGCGCGCTTCTGGAAACATGGATTAACTGAAGCTACCCTTATTAAGTATTACCGTACTCTTATTAACGCGAGCAAGAAAAAGAAAAAGAGAGAGAGTGAGAGAGAGAGAGAGAGAGAGGGATAGTGAGAGGGATGGAGAAAATGAAGGACTTCGCATGAGATGAGTTTTGGGTTCAAAAGCTATTCTCCAAAAGTCTCCAGGATTTGGGGTAGCATCATGGATTAACGAGTCACTGTTCAAATTTATAACGAGGCGTATTATTAAATTTCTCGATGAAATTATCTAAGTTATCTTTTTTGCTTTTGCATCTATCTTTCAAATAAATCAAATTAATGAAATATCGTGAATATTATTGACTGAATGTTTTTTTTTCATCATTTCTTTGATTATATTCTATGAACGTTCGTTTAACAGTGAACTCAATTTTTCTTCTTTCTTTTCTTTTACTCGAATTTTATTCTCGTAAAGAGCAGCAGCAGGGAGGAAGGACGATTTAGGCAAGCATTCAGAAAACTCACGATTTCTTCTTTTATATATCACTCCTCCTTACTTTTTCTACTCTTTCAGTAACTCTCCCCCCTTTTTCTTGTTCTTTTCATCTTTAAACGAGCCGTTTTAATGATAATCTGCGAGACAAATTTTCCTTTCGTTTTACTTTCAAAAGATAATTATTCATTTTTTCACGTTCCGTGTACTTGTAACTTAACAAATGTCACATATACATTTGTTAGTAGGTTAACCCTTAAAATGCACATGGGATGTTTGACACTCCAACAAATTTTGGATCTGTCGAAAACGTTACTGAATTCGAAAAAAATGGGTTATTTGTCTAGTGTCATCTAGTGTTAATTTAAATGGATATAAAACCTATTCTATTTTAAAAAAGATGTATCAAACTACTTTGAAAAAAATTATTGCGAGGTCTAAATATTAAATAGCAGCTACAGGAGACGCGTTCAAACACCCACAATGCACTTTAACTAACTTTTACCAAGTGTTCACTTTAAAGGTTAAGTGTAAGAACCAACAAAAATTATTTTACTTTATTTCATTTAATTATTATTCCCTTTTGAGTGTTAACCATTTTTTTTTTTTTTTATTAGATTTAGGAATATTTCAGGATTTTTATCGTATAATAAATATAAGAAACGAAAATAGACCCCAATAGCAAAGCTTAGATACCAATTTTCTCATCCAACTTGTTTTCTTCTTTTTATGTGCTTTTTTTTTCTTCTTTTTTTTATCTTTTCTCTCCCCTTTTTTCTCTCAACTTTTTTGTTTTGAATATAGTAGCACAGCCGAGGTTGAAGTTGGATAGGAGGATAAAGGACATGCAAATTACGCGATATGAAAACAGGAGTTACTCTAGACTAGCAATATTCCCTCCTCTCGACGCGTGCAACCTCCTCTTGCCTGCTTTTTTTTCCCTCTTGTTACGTTGGACACTACCTGCATATGTTACGACCTACCAAAAATGGATAGGAAAATAGTACAAAATAAAACAAAAATAGAAAAAATACCAAATGAAAGAGTGCAACAGAGAGAGGAAGAGAGAGAAAAATAGTTGACCATCGTGTTATTATCGTTTGTTTCGCAAACAGGAAATTATGCGTTGCGGTATAAAATACGGAAATTCGTTCTTCCTCTTTCTCTCACCTTTCTCATTCATCCTCTTTCATTCTCTATGACTGCACACACATATTTTCTTTTCTTTTTTTTTTTACGAAGAGAAAAATTATTGAAAACGTGAAAAAACACAACGAATCTTGCGAGTTATTCTAATCGACGTATTTATTCTACACGTAGGGGGAGAAGAACCTTTTTTTGTTTGATTTTTTACGAGAGATAGTTTATATGTGTATGTTCATACGTGATGCAATAGAATTACGAGATATATCGGTAGTTTGAAACTCGTTAATAGTTATGAATGTGAGTTAGACAAAAAGTGTGTGTGTGTGAGAGAGAGAGAGAGAAAGTGAAAAGGCTAAATTTGTTAATAAATTTATGCGAATTCAATGAAAAATCTCTTTTTCATTTTCATCTCACGTAGGATTTGATTACATAGGTGTACATACGTGCGTGCGTATGTAATTATGACTCCCCTTTTTTTTATATTCGACAATTTGAATAGAATGAAATTAGCATTGAAAGTCTTAATAAGGAATAATGAATTTTTGTTGAAATCATTGAAGGATTTTTTTTTTTTTTTGAAATGCAGTGGGTTTGTTTGGTTGGTTGGTTGGTTGTGAGTTTTCTGTTGATTTATGTTCGTGTAAGCTATGTAGGTTAAATTATACTAGATTCATTTTCACGTAGTAGCTTTTTTTCTTTGTTTAATCTTTTTTAGAAAAAAAAAAAAAATCTAAATAAAATGAATTTTTGCGTGGAATATGTGTACACTTGAATAGAATCTACTTGTGCATTGCGCAATGAATACGCCCTAAGGCAAATTGTATAACGAGTACAAAGAAGAAATATGAAAATAGTATAGTGAAGGAAGCTTTAAAATAAGCTACTTTTGTAGTTGAATTCATTTAGTTAGGTCAAAAATATGTCACAATTTGAGTTGCTACAAAAGACCTAGTTAAACGAGGATGTTTGTTATAATGATCTGAGATTTGAATCAAATAGAATTTCTATAAGAATAGAAAAAAGAAAAATATAATAAATGAACAAAAAGAATTTGAAGATAAAAATAAATCAAATATATATATTGAAAAATTGATCAAGTATTTGCAAGATAAATGAATGATTTATTATTTCATTTGTTGGAGAATATTTTCAGCTAAGAAAAGTTCATAATTTTGGCTTATTTCTTGAAAATTAATAGTACAAATAGTGATAGAATAAAGTGCACGAGGGAAAAGAACGACAAAAGTCGACCACACACGGCGATTCAATTATCGATAACGAAATATATCGCTTGCATTCACGTGACTTTGGCATTAATGTATCGACCAGTGATTTTTATGTATTTTTTAGAGAAAACATTTCTACCCAATTTTAGTCATCCAAATGGCAAAAATAAAAAAAAATAAACAAGAAAAACAATTTTATTGTAAGCTCAATGAGTCTGTTCATAGGAGGAGGGGAAAAAAGATTTCAATTGATTACAATCAATAATAAATGTAGTTAATAATGATAAACAAACAAGTCGTCACGTTAACAAAAAGATCGAGTAAATCTAAGATTTTACTCGATAAGATTTAGAATGTGAATAATCAAGAAATGAAAGTGTCTTTTATTAAATGATAGAACCCGTGGATTAATCTGTGACAATCAAGCCGGATGAAGATTAATTAGTTCTGACTGATTTCTTTCTTTCCCATTTATATAAGAAAACATCTTTCTATCTTTCTATTTTCTTTTTTTTTTTTCTCATTAATTATGATTCGTCAAAATATGACACATTTTATTATCAACGATATCATCCCCTTCTTTGCTTTTCCGAAATATTTCAGAACAAAATAATCTGTGGAAATTCATTAAACTATGAATTTAAAAGCTGAGAAAAAATTAAGAGAATAATGATGTCACAATTTTATTATATTATTTAAAATATTTCTATAATAATTAAATGTATCACGTGTTATTGAAGTGATGAAAGTTAATTTTTGAAAGTAATCGAGAAAACACGTAATTTACATTAATTATAAATAAAACATCACAATTATAACCATTTGCCGTAATAAATGGTCGAAATATCATCAACCAACGTAGTTTAATTTTAAAGTCGCGTACTCATAAATATAAATTTTTCTTATCGCTAATTAATTTGTTGCTCAAATGTAAATTTTTGCCACAATAAATACAAATTATAAACAATGTAAATATAATTTTATTATTAATACAAATTATATAATAAATTTTCTTTCTAGACAGCGCGGAAAAAATTCGGTTTGCAGAGGATTTTAAAATATGTGTTACACGTGTAGAAAATATTTCTACTCTGTTTATTATGATATTTTGTATAATTACTTAATATTAATAAAAAAGAGGTAGTGATTTAAATAATAAAATTGGTCAAATCTTTGAAATAAGTAAAGACAATTATATTGGAATAGATATTTGCGATATCTGCGGATTCGAAGAAGATAATGTTACTGGTTTTGGTACATTCTGAGAAACGATAGGATCACGATTTCGGTCAGAAATTACAGGTTTTAAGCAATTTCAGGGGATATTCCCTATTGTGTAATATCCAAGAGAGTTTAACAAGTAACACGATATTGCTGCGATATCATAATATCGTAAAATAGCAACCAAGAGTTACCAAGAACAAAGGGTCGCTCTAGTTTCATACCGTTATATACACGCGATATATTGTTTCTTTCTTTTTTCTATATTCCTACTAAACTTCTTTTCTCTTTTTTTTTTGTTCTTCTTTATTTTTTAATATCAGCAGGATAAACGTAATAGGCCCGTTAATACAATGAGCACATTTATTTTTCTGACTATTGAAGTGAGACGTGAAATCGTCTTTTACAATAATACAAAAAATGAAATAATGAGAAAAATTGTAAGAGCTTACCTGAGAGGGTTTGACCGCCTTACGGCGGCCTCTTCAGGTCGGGGGCCCTCTCTAAGGGGGGCCCCGAGTATTCTCACTTTCCAATCGACAAATCCAGCGCTGCGACAGCTGGAAACGAATTTCAATATTTTCGTTAATGCACGTTCGTTGTCGTCGCGTCGCGTCGCGTCGCGTCACCGTGTTATGTGATTTCCAAAATCAATGAGAACAAAAATTCTATTCCAGGTGGTGATACATATGTGTAAGGGTTCTATTATATTACATCTGGAATAGAAAAAGTCAAGTGAATGGAGGATGGGGTAGAAAGGGTTAAGCTTCTTCAATGGTCGTAGAGTGGAAAAAGATTTGTACGTTTCATTGAAAAGTTTATGTGTGTTTGTGTTTTTGACTTGTGATTTACAATGAATAATAAAAAAAAAAAGGATGAGGAAAGGTATATCAATGTATTAATCCGAACACTTTTTGTTGTTGTTGTTTTGTTTTCAATAACTATGATGATACTTCTCGCTATCTCTTTTTCTCACGTTTAATTCCCATTCGAGTTTAGTTACGGTGGATTAAAAGTTTAAAAATACACACACACACACGCACACACATGTAAGTACTCTCACACGTACGCATACGCAGCTTTTCCTATTGCGTTGAATCATATTATTAAAATGTACTTTTAAAAAGCAATTAAAACTTTGACCAATGTAAACGTTCGTTATATCATTTTGATCAAAAAGAAAAACATATTTTCGTCATAGTTTTAATAGAACACCTATTGTAAATATTGCACTCGTATTATTTTTTTTGTTCTCTCTCCCATGAAAACTAACAATTTCTCTCTTTCTCTCTCTTTCTCTCTCTCTCTCTTTTTCTATTTCCTTTCGTTTTCAAAATAAAATCTATCAATTTTATTTTTCGATACGTGTATTCATATTTTTTAGAATATATATTTTTCAACAAAATACATGGAAAAAAGATATAAACAAATAAATAAATAAAWAAAGAAGATATCGTTGGAGTATTTAAAGTCAAATTATTAGTTTGTAATATTTGACATAAAATTAAAAAAAAAAAAAACATTCATATATGAAAAATATGAGATATTTGAAAGAGAAAAATAAGCATAATCTTTCATTCTATTTTACCAATTTCATGAGATAAAATTACGGATACATCCTTTCCATCTTTCCATGCTTCCTTCCTTCCTTCCTTCCTTTTCATTTTTTTTTTCTATCGCTTTAATATCCTTGTTTGTTCTTACCTAAAGCCTCAAGTCGAGTTTAAAATTAATTATCCGCCGATTCGCCGTTCGGTTTCATCATATTACGTAAGGGAGGTCGATCGATCAGTGTCGCACCAGGGTTGCACGGCATAGAACTTTCTTATAGTTTCTACTGTAATTCTATGAGAGACCCGAGACGAACGAGAAAAGAAGACTAAGAAGAAGAAGAAGAAGAAGAAGAAGAAGAAGAAAAAGAAGAACAGAAAGAAAGAAAGAACTAGGTGTAGTAGTAGGTGGGATGTAAATGAGAGTAGAGGGGTACTAGGAAGAGAAGTCAAAGAAGGTGTGGCGGAACCAGGGGGTTGATGAGATGTCGTTGTTCAGCTTCATCGACTGTAAAGAAGAAAAGAAAAGAAAAGAAAAGAAAAAAAGAAGAAAAGAAAAAAAGAAGAAGAGAAAAGAAAAGAAACCAACTCGTAGAGAGTTCGGTGAGCATTTTAAATCACGAACTATCTCAATGTGGAAGAAAGTCTTCTTTTTTGTTAAAAGAGAGGTGGGAGATGGAGAGATGGAAAGTGAAACAGAGAGAGGGAGAGAGAGAGAGAGAGAGAGAGAGAGAGAGCTGTCATCGGCTGACCGCAAACTAAATGCGGGCCGGTTGGTTAGTCTTCTTCCAAGTGGAGTTACTCAACGTTGAGTCAGGCAACTTAACCAAAGTCGAATTGATATATTCATAGAAAACAAACTTGGAGAGAATTCTTTCCTGACCACAGATTAAATCTTACTAGAATATAATTTTCCTTTTTGAATTTTATCTTGTCCCTAAAGTAACCCTAAAATCAACTCTCCTTTAAAACCCTTTGTTCATATTCCCTTGAGTTTTGTTCGTAGCCGAATGTCGACTAGGATACTTTGTAAGATGCAGTAATACTCACGACGATCACATCTTTCAACAAAGTTCTAATTCATTCAAGTTCATTCGAGTCTCGATTATCATTATTATTATAATCTTTCTGGAAAAACGTGAGATTCAATTTATTTCCTTACCATCTTTCTATTTTAATATCTTGAAAAAGTTATTAGTCGTTAGAAACAAACTCGATTAATTGATCCACAAATTTTCTAATCAATTTGCTTTTCTGACACACATAATTATGTATCATAATTAAAAGATCAAATTAACGTGACGAAGAGATTAGAATGTTCGATATTAAGAACAAAAAAAAAAAGAAACAGGAAAACTTTGTGAACTATTTGGTACGAATTCTTGTAATAAAAAGACCCTTCGACTAATCCAGTAAAACCATAATGAGACAGAAAACGAAAGACAAGAGAAAAAAAGGGAGATAGCATGCAAAGTTGATTTTTTATCACATAGTAAAGCTGGATAGTAACACGAGATAGAAAAATAATAGGAGATGACAATAGGACGAGTAATTGAGCATGGAACCTGAGATAGGAAAAAGGCCAGGGAAAGGAAAGGTGTTGCTATTTCGTCTGATATAACTGAACACTAGGAGGATATTTTTGTTGGGGGTGAGGAAGGCTGATACAACCAGTCAGTATCATGTATATGTATGAATGTATATATATATATACCCATATAATAAGAGAAATAGAGGAGAAGAAAGGGAAAGAGATGAAAAAGGGACAAGGAAGAGGACCGAAAACGGGAGACAGTAATGGGAGAAAGAGATAAATAGATAGATCGAGGGAAAGCCGAGAAGAGAGAGAGTATTTAGGGTGAGGAAAAAAAGAGAGAGAGAGAGAGTGAGTGTGTGAGCATGTGTGAGTAAGAGAGAGAGAGAGAGAGAGAGAGAGAGAGTATAGAGAATAGATAAATAGAAAGGAGAGCACCGAATTGAAGAGTGCGAAAACGGAAATAGAGTGAGTATGTGTTAGAGAGAGAAAGAAAGTATATATCTATGTATGCATTTACATATGTGTGTGTTTGTGTGTGTGTTAGTGTGAGAAAAAAGAAAAAGAAAAAGAAAGAGATAGAGGTAGGTAGCATCGTCATCCTCCCGCTCGAGTTTCTCCGCTTTGAACGCGCATGCGTACGAACGTTTGTGCACCATCGGCGTGTACCGTTTTAGTAACCGAGCATACACTGGTGTGCATTATCTAACATTTAAAATTAGATTCTTGCCGGCGACGAAGACGAACACCAAAAGACGAACACCAAAACGACCACGACGACGACGATGAGCGACGACGATGGGCGACGACGATGGCCCACGACGATAGATGTGTTGAGATCCCCTATTGAAATTTGGACGAACAATATTCGACGTCAATTTAAAAACTATTGTACAGATATGACGGTTCTTTTTTTTTTGTCCTGTTTTTTTATTTTTTTTTTTTTTTTGTAAAATCGATGACACTTTGTTGTCGTAATTGTTTTTGAAGGATGTTTGATTCAATAACACACTTTAATCCTCGGCCCTTTTAAGTTGCACTGACAAAAATATTCACGAATTTTGTTCACGTGTTTTTTTATCCGTTGTTCATAATTCAATGAAAACATGTACAAAGTTCTTCTTGTTCTTCTCCTCCTTCTTCTTCTTCTTCTTCTTCTTCTTCTTCTTATGATTGCTTTTTTTCCGATAGACTTTCTGTTACACGATCGATCTAATACGCGCACTTGTCTCTAACGTAGAGAACAAAGCACAAGGAATTATTGAAACAAAGCTTTTTCGTTTATTTATATATATATACATTACGCTTTCTATTTTTCCTCCAATCCTTAATGTTTTCTTTTTTTTTTTCTTTTACCTATTTTTCTTTCTTTCTTTCTTTTCTTAAGTTTGTTTCTTATACACGACACAGCACGGGATGATGGTTGTAGAGTCGATGGAAAAGTAGAGATGAGAATGGATAGAAAGTTGGTAGAAAAAGAGAAAGAGAAATGAAGATAGACATTGAGAGTCGAGTTAAAAAAAAAAAAAAAAAGAAAAAAGAAACCGAAAAAGAGAGAGAAAGAGAGAGAGAGAGAGAGAGAGAGAGAGAGAAATAAAAAAAGGAAAAGTATTTTATCGATCGCGTTTTTTCGCACCACGGTATTTCGTTCTTTCCACCCTTCTTTCCTTCCTTCCTTCCTTCCTTCCTTCCTTCCTTCGTATTCAACACTTTTTCTTTTTACTCTCCATTTCTCCTTCCTTTTTATGTTCCTTGTATGGTGTCTTTATAGATCGAGAGTTATAGGGTTAGAAAGAGAGAGAGAGAGAGAGAGAACAAAAATGGGAATGTAAGATAAAGAAAGATAAAGATACTGAATCGAATGTGTCCCATGAACGTCGTTGGGGTTAGTTGATAAGTGTTTAGGTGTATCTTTTTTTGATTTTGTTTTGGACTGATAGTGTAATGACGATCACGATATAACGATGCTGAAGTTTGTTATGTTAAATAAGGATTGTGATAATGATAATTATGTGTATATCGTATAGGAAGATGATATTACGAGACGCACCGCGTTCGTCCGGGCCGGTTGGCCGCCCGTCTTAGAGTGAATGTCATATTAGCTATTTCTAGCTGACTACTTAGTCTCCCTTCTTCTTCTTCTTCTTCTTCATCTTATTTCTCCTCATCCTTCTCCACTAATTCTTCTTCTTATTCTACTTTTCTTGATACTTTGCCCGAAACCTCTTCTCCTCCTCCTCTTCTTCTTCTCTCTTTCTAATTTTTATACTCTTTTATTATCTTCTATTCTAATCTTTCGATTTTATTTCTTTCAAAGCCAATTATTTGTGACCATAATTATAAAAGTGGTCTTGTCTAAGTCAAAATGAAAAAAAAAAAACAAAAACAAATGAGTTTATCAGTTATTTGAAACTAAATAAATTCAATGTAATTTGAAAACGATATTGTCAAAAATGAATCGTCAGATAATGTTTGTTATTTCAATATTATATAGAATTCATATAGAGTGTTCAAATAGAAATCTTGAAATATCTCGAAACAAGAGATACATGACTTAAATCACTTTCATAATTATGGACACATTTATGTGAGTGCATGTAAAAATGTAATTTACCTCTTTCCTCTTTTATTCTAATTTTATTCTCTATTTAATTTCTAACACTTAAAGATTTGATTTGCTCACTATGATTTTTATCTACTTCAATATCTTACAAAATATTATGTAACTTTATACAACACCGACTAACAGATGTATTTTAGATTAAAAAAAAAAAAAGAAAGAAAAATCGTGTTTTCATTCATAAAAATGCAAAGTTCATTTTATAGAACGCTTAACACGTAAATACTCAATCGACAAAGTAGTAGTATTCATTGAATGTTCTGATCATAATGTAAGTGTGTGGGTTGATGGTTTATTGTACTTTTGGTATTGTGTGACCATGGTAGTAAGAAATTCTTCGCTAAGGTCGATCGCATTCCTCGATATTTTTTTTTTCTCTTCCTACTTTCTTTAGCTTTCTACTTTGGAATCTCTGATGCTGGTAAATGATCGTGTAAGGAAGGAGTTGGAGACTTTCTTTCATGCTCAGGGTATCTGCGAACTCTTAGGGGGATTCTTATTTCTTTAGGAAAGAACAATTTTTCGTCGCATTCTTTCTAAACTCGATCGGTTGGTTCGTTGGTTCGTTCGTTGGTTGGTTGGTAGTGATCGCATCTTTACAGTGTTACGAAATGGGAAGAGTTTTTTCGTTAGATCGGATATGCGATTCTTAGTTTAAAAGAAAGAGAGAGAGAGAGAGAGAGATGAAATATAAAGCGTTCGTCCGTAAAAAAGCGGTGCTATTAATCATTAAAGTTCTTGCGGGTAATCGAATGCCAAAGCACCGATCGTGAAACGATTTTTCTATCGGATAAAGAGGGGACTCTTCCATCTTCTCCTCATCTTCTTCTTCTTCTTCTTCATTTTATTCCTTTCCGATAATACGTAACATCCTGCTTCTCTTCTTCCTCCTCATCATTCTCTTCTCGAACGTTCAACCTATGTATGCATACTTATATACATATATGTATGTATGTATGCAAATCTAAAATCGTGTTACGGTCGAGTATACCCGGACGATAACTCTCCTGTCTGATAAATAAGCTGAATGTTCTACTTGTTCGTAGAAAATACTGTCGCATAGAATGAATTCGCATCTGCTATTATTTAAATATTATTTAATTTAACCCTTTCGCTACAGGCGTCTTTTCTTCTACTGTACGGAGGTGCTAATACGTGCAGCTGCATCGAAATTGCACTTTATTTATTTTTAAGTAATTTTCTTGTTGATATTAACGATTTTTAAATCAAAAGAAACAAAACACTAAAATTACATGTGTACAGTGTGTGATGAACTGCATAGGTTCGTCGTATGTAAAATACGCGGTATTTTATGGAGGGCCACTATAGTGGTCCATAGTAGCGAAAGGTTTAAAGAAAAGATTTGTTCATGAAATATTTTTCTCTTTGACAAAATTAATCACCGTTTTATCTGAAAATTGTATACCTTTTTACATCGATCACGATCATCAAATTTTCATGGTCGAGGAAATTTGATCGTTCAATTTATTTTTTTTTGATTCGATTTGATTCACATTACTTTTTCCTCTACCAAAACTTCATTTAGATGAAAATAAAGTTTGTAGAAAGAATAAAAATGCCGTGTTATCTACGACGTCGTTTTTATCTTCATTCACATTATGCATTCTCACGTAGGTTAATTTCGTTAATCCGTTTCCCCATTTCTTTTATTAGTTCTATTTTATTCATCTTTTTTTATTTCATTAAACTAATCGTTTTAATTTATTTACATATTAGCATCATTATCATCACTTAGTGTACACGATATATTTTCATCCAGTATCGTAAGATAAAGCACGAAATAATATTTAAAGATAATATTTCTTAATATTGTATTGTGCGAAAAGTCATTTCGTTGATTATTTTGTAAAAATGAAGACACATTTTTGTTTCGAGATTAAACTGAGGCCTTTCAAGTGAGCATAAATAGTTGAATTTGATAAATTTAAACTCTCAACAATTTCACGTGTTACTATTTGACAGTTTGCATCAACTAATGCCATTATTGTGTCAGGAAAAAAATGAAATTACTTTACGAACAATCCAATATTAGGAAGAAATCAAATTATATACGATAGGTATTGTTAAAAAGAAGTTTTTAATCGATGTATCGTCAAATCATTAATAGAAATTTTCATTCTATTTCTGTTGATATTTATTTTATAATAGAAAAGGAAGAATAAAGATAGATAAAGATAAATTGAGAGTAAGAGAGATGGACGAGAAGCTAACACAATTTCTTTGTCTCTTGATCGACAATATCAAATGGAACTTTAGAAGGGAAAACCCTTCTTGCTCGTAGCATGAATCATTAAAGTACAAAGACGACGACGACGACGACGACGACGACGACGACGATTCGTCGACACGACTTAACGAGAATTTCCGATGCTTCCTTACGACCAGTTTTCCGGCTATGACTTAACTACTTACTTATTTACTTATTTACTTATTTACTTATTTATTCACTCTCGTGGCTTTGTCGTTCCATTTCTCTTTCTCTTTCTCTTTCTCTTTCTCTTTCTCTTTCTCTCTGTTCAAACGACAATATTTTTTCTAATTTTTATCGTGTGAACGGTATGATTAACATTAAATTAAATTGTTAATTTAATTCTATTGAATGTACGTACGTGTGCACACGTAATTTTACCGAATATCGGCTTTTATTACTCGTCTCGAGTTCCTACAATTTTATCGCTGTTGTCCTTGAGAAACCACGGAAGCTCTTCTTCCCTTTTAGGATTTACGACATTTCTTATTTTTCTGTTTTTTATCTCCTAACCAACCACATTTTATCACTCCTTTCGTAGCTTATTTTTTATCCTATTCTTTTTACCTTCTCTCTTGTATATTGTTTATTCTTTTTGATATTTCCTTTTTGTGTGTGTGTGTGTGTGATTTTTTTTCTTTTTTTTTTTTTATCCTTTCACGAGTCTCGCAATCACGCTTGCGAGATTTCATTATCGATTCATACCTCGAACAAAGAAAAAAAAAAAACTATCCAGAAAGAATATTTGAGAATAAAAAAGAAACAAAATAGCTGATTGAGGGTTTTTTTTCCCCCCCATATCGTAGCCTTTTTTGATCTTGTAAAAGAATAGAATGAAAATGAAATTAAATAAAACGAAATTTGTATGTGAAATATATATTTTGAAGAAGAGGGAAGAAAAAAGTCGTGATAATTAGGATATGGAAAACGATTTCTACGATCGAATTCATTTTCAATTAGAAGAAGAAAAAGTGGTTGATAGTCGATATCTATAATTGTTTTACTCTTATCCGATTGTTCGTGAAATCAATTGAAAGAGAAGAGAAAAAGAAAGGAACTTACAATTAAACTTAATATCAGATGATTTCAAATGGAAAGATGAGAAAATTTGTCGATGAAAATTCGTCAAGTGTTGATTGAAAAATGCACAAAAAACTCATTTTATTCCAGTTTCTTTTTTTTTTTTTTTTTTTTTTTTTTTTTTTATATTCCTCCGACAATGAGAAAATTGTAGGG